TTTTGAAAAGACGAACAACTGGGTTCGTATAAATGGGATAGCGGAACATTTTGACACAACAGGAAAACAAGTAGCGGTGATCTTTATAATGTTTGGAAAGTTTTCGGAGATGATCATCATCATCATCATCATCACCATCAGCAGATGGAGCATCAACAAAATTACTGAAGGTGAGATGGCTCGATACCAGGATAACAACGATAGACGATAATAATGATGACAACGCGACGATGGATGATGATCATATTTGGTAGGGAAAACTTCTCATACCTTGTTCAGTATTTATCGCTATATCATCAAAGAGTTAACCACTCAACTCATTCTATTCCACCTTTTTTTTTCCTCTCTCTCTTTCCCTCTCATTAACCTTTCCCTCCTTCTATCCCTCTGTAATCCATTTTTTTTTAAAGAAAGAAAGATAGGAAAAGAAAATAAAAAATTAACAATATCCGTTAAAGGGAATTACCAAAAAGATATACGTTCAATTGGTAGTTTGTAATCATTTGCATGATCATTATTGAAATTCGAAAATCCGGAAAAACGGGACCATTTTCCGTATGATTTATCATTCGTCGATAATCCTTCAGCTAATAGGATTTCTGCTTTTATTAATAGCAGAGAGTCGTATTGTCTTCGAAAAGCCAACAAAATGGAATAATGCACCAGGTAATTGACATTTTTTTTTTCTTTTCTTGTTTAAAAATCAAAATGATAATTGCAAGAAGAAAAAGATTTGCTTAAAAAATATTCTTATACTCTTTGAAAATTAATTTTTAAAATTATGCTGTGGTAAATTTACCTATGTTTAAAAAAAAGAAAAGAAATAAAATGATTAAGGAAGGGAAAAATTTTTCCTGATCAAATTTAATATCAATTTGTAGAGAAATAATCATTTTTAAATTTTGTTATTACATTTTAAAGAGTTTATTTGTTTGTGTTTTTCTAATTTGATATATTTAGTCAATTGATAAAGTTTCTTGTTTAATTTTGATAATAAAATTTGTAAAAGTAGTAAGTAGTTTCTATAAGTATTGTAAAATAATCAACGATTAAAAAATATAATTTGAAAATATTACTATTGATATTAAATTTTTTCCTACAATTCATTTTTCTATTCCTCTTAAATTCTCTTTCTTTAATTTCTTATTAACTTTACAAAATTAACAAATTTTTATCTTTGAATTATTTAATAATAGAAGATTAGTGATGTGAATTTAAAAAAGTTTAATTGTTTACTAATTAATTCAAAAAAAGGTATAAAACTATAAATAGTTTCTTTTTGTCATTGAATCATTTCACGTTCTAAAAGTTCGAAAACTTAACCTTCTTTTTTTTTTTTTGAAAATTAAATCAACTTCCTATTCATTGATGGATGATGAATTACTTCACATTCTAAAACATAACCTCATTTTTTTTAGTTAAATCAACTTCCTATTCATTGTTCGATGATGAATCACTTCATATTCTAAAAACCACCTTTTTTTTTTAACAAATTAAACCAACTTTCTTTCTATTCTTTCATAGATTTTGCTAATTTTTTTTTTTTTTTTGTAATCCTTTAAATTTTGTTAAATAAAAATGCAGGTTGGCCAGCAGTAAAAATACGATTAACAAAACGTGGTGCAGAACATATAAAATTAGTCGGAGTGAAAATTTTAAATGAAGAAATTTCACGATTAAGTGGATTTCAAACGTTGCATTCATTCTCTGAGCACGGTAAATATTTTATTTTCATTAACTTTTAAACCATTAATGATTAAAACTTTTTTTTTTTGCCTTTTCCTTTTTTTTAAGAAAAAAAAAACATTCAAAGTAAACAAAATACTTTTTGTTTTACCGTTGTAAGCAAAAAATTTAGGTATAACAGGACGAGTTCAATTATACAATGTCAACGTGTTACGATATTCACCACCACGATACACATCACTGGAATTTGTTTCACCATCCTATGTTATCTTTCAAATGGATCGAATGGATATTGCGTAAGAATTTTTTTCTTTTCTTTCTTTTTTTTTTTTTCTTTTTACATTTCATTTCTAATATTTAAATTTACAATCGGTGGTAACTTTTATAGAAATGATTTAAATAGGGTAAGATAATTCTATCGATAAATTAATATGAAATGTTAAATATGAATGAATTTTATAATTTGTTTAATAAAACGGCTATGAAGGCTTTCCAGATTAATTTACAATTCGATAACCTCATAAATCTTCAAATGATCGGGCAATCCTCATGAATCTTTAGTGAATTTTATAAATTCAAGAAGCTTCCTTGGATTTAGTTCCAGGTAAAATTCATCACACCACCAACTTGTCCTTTACCATATATTGGAAAATTATAACTCTTTGAAGCAAAATATAGCTACAAAAAAAAAAAAACAAATAAATAAATAAAAAAAATAAGTAAATACAATAAAAATAATTTATATAGTTATGAAGTAATTTCAGTTTAGCTGGCCGATTTGCTGGAACGGTAGCATTGTTACCAGTAACCGGTTCCGTAACAGGTGATTTACGACAAATGAGCGTTCGATTACAGACAAAATTCAACAGAGCTATAAATGGTTTAATAGAAGTGAAGGTAATTGAAATGTAATTTTTGAAATTTCAAAAATTAAAGATTATGTATGAACAAAAGAAATAAGATAGATATGAAATGCTTATCATATGATTACTTCTTGATTACTTCTTTCTCTCTTTCCACCACCTCATATCTTCGTCTATCTCTGCCTTATATCTTTCCGGATTCGCGTTTATAATTTCATTTCAGGTTGTTGGTTGTTCCACCGTCGTTCCTTACAGCCATTTTTCTATAAGTGCTAATGGAGCATTAAATGGTTTCGTAAAAATGATTGAGGCATGTATGATTGTTTATTCTTTTTGTAATTTCACAAATTACCAAATATTAATAGATGATAGAGTTAATCATTCAGTATATGTTTTAAATGAATTTTTCACTTTTAAAAAATAATTTGTTTAATTAGGATAGAGAGCGAGAGAGAAAAAAATCATTTCATTAATAAATGAATGAAATTTTTTTCCATTCCCATCTATTTGTGCTTATTCAAAAAAAAAAGAAAAAATCAACGGAAATTATTTTTTTTTCAAAGTTTTACAGTGCTTTTTTGAGTGATACAATTGAGGACTAGATAAAGATAACCTTTAACCTCTAACCATATTACATTTTTAGTACTAAAATAAATACCTTTTCAACATAGTCATCCTCTGGAACATTTGATTAAATCTACAGATAGGATTAATCATTGATGTAAACCTAATCTTTTCTTATTTTATTCCCATAATACCTATCAATTGTAGGCACGAATAAATGAAGTAATAAGACAAAAAATTCCGAATGTTTTTTGTAATAGTTTACAAAGAATTATCGAAGATAGCTCACCACATCTTTTTCAGGTAATATTTTATAAATTATTTCAAGAAAAAAAAATAATAGAAAATTCAAGTTTGTCAATCATAAATGAATTAATTCAATTTAAAATGAACATTTTAATGGATAAATGCCTGTCTCAGAATTCCTTCATCATTCATTAAGTATCGAAATTCAATTAATTAAAAAATTTCTTACAATTTTTGCTTTTTTTAGGTACAATCTTCGAAAAAAAAACTTTTTTCCCGCAATAAAACTTTTCCCAGAATATATTTTGAAATTTTGGTTTATTAAATAAAAAAGAGTTTTAAAAATGCAAATTAAAATATTAAAAAAATTTTTTGTACAACAATATTTAAAATTATGAATTACGATAATACGATGTTAATTTGAACATAAAAATATGAGGAAACTGAAATGCTTTTCATATCTTTTACTTTGTTTTATTTTTGCAGCGTTTAGCATTTACAAATTTGACTGATCACTTTCATTCTATTAATTTGGTTGATAATATGATTATAAGCAAACTTTTTCGTCGTCTCACTAAAGGTTTATACATCGATAATCGTAATATTAATGATCCAATTGTAACAGCGGATTATTTTGAAACACAACAGAAAGGTTATTTAATTTCTTATTTTAATAAAGCAAAATTTTAACGAATATTTGTTGAAATTTGTTAAAAAGGAAGAAAATTTGAGCAAATTTTAAATTTGCTTTATTTTTTACTAAACAGATAATTGCTTATATAATTGTGAATTTGATATAATTAGAGGAAAATTTGAGGTGAAATCAGATATGATAATGATCATCGTCCAACTCCATTTAATGCTCCCGTAATGCATACCGGAAATGATTCATCCCGAATGTTATATTTCTACGGCTCGGAATATCTGTTTAACTCACTTCTTTATCATGCTTATGAAGGCGATCGTATAATTGTTGAGGTAAAAAAAAAAAAAACAAGGAAGAAGAAGAAAAGTAAATTGAGATAATTTTGTTTATCTCGTCAAATCATTTTCTCAGATTAAATTCAAATAAGAATTGAAATTTCTTTTTAAATTCAAATTAGCATCATTTTATTTTACAATTATAGATTGATGAAAATACTTTACCACCACAATATAAGCCAATCGTTCGAACTAGTTGTGGTAATTCACAACGTAGTAATTGGAATTTTGTATCATCTCTTTGCCTTGGTATATTAATACCAGAAATAGCTAATCGTTATCCGAATGCATCATCATCATTCTTGCTCTTACCACATCAAATTCCAGAATTTCGATTTTGCAAAGATACAGGCTCTATTGATTTAAAAAGTTCGTTTTATTTATTTATTTATTTTTTTTATCATTTAAAATTCTTAAATTTTTGCTTTTCTTTTTGCAAACGTAATTTTTGCATGTTTTCTGTAATTTATTGAACGTTTTCTGCAAAATTTAGTTTAATTTCAAAAATTGAAGTCCAAAAAAAAAAGATTTTTTTTTTATCATTATTAAATTGAAACTGTATGGATCGAAGAAATATGAAATATTTTGATGAAAATTTTAATGAAAATGCAGATCGTGTGCTAACATATATAAATGATGGCCGAAGAAGAAAACAAATTATGGTGAGTACAGCGGATTTTCAAGCTGATTTTCGCTTACTTATCGAAGATGAAAAAATTGCTGCAGCTTTGAAAATTAATAAATTTGATATAAGGTAATAAAAATTCCCTCTTTTTTTTCTGAAAATTTTTCAACAACTGAAAGAAAATTTATAGCTAGAATTCAATTATAATTTTATATTTTAATCAAAAATCAATCTAACGTATTTGGTTCAGCAATAATCTTAAATAATTTTTTTTATTTTGCAAATATTTAACAATTTTAAGCATGAAATAAAAAATATTAAAAATGGAGCAATATTCTATAAATAATATATCCTATTGTTAATCTCTAAAAGAAATAAATTAAAAAATTATTCCATTTTCGATTGCATCGAAGTGCAATTAAAGGGCTTACTAGTAGTTCAATTGCACAACTTGCTCCATTAGCCAAAACATTTTTTGGACCTCAACTTGTTAAAGCATTGAAAAAAGGTATTCCACTTCCATTAAAGGTTTGTTTATTTTCGATAAAATATTCTAAATGCTTAATTATTTTATATTCTGTAATGCTTAATTTTATAAACTTGTCTAAATTATCCAAAATAATAACGGCTTTTTTTTTAAAAAAAAAAGATTCATTGAAAATAGAATGTTTATTGACAGTTGTTAATTTGAACTTTAAACTTGTTGATTAAATTTTTTAATTTGAAGCCTTTTCCATGATAGCACACATAATTTACATCAAATCATTCCAAAAGGATTCTTCTATACTTAATTTACATATATTAGTCAGGAAAAAAATTCTTAATGATAAAACTTAATATGAATTTGTTGAAATATTATTTTCTTTGAGAAGCATTGATTTGTTAAAGTATTCATTTCTTTTTCATGCAATAATTTCATCATTTTTTTTAGGATTCAATTGAATTCATCAATCCGGAATTAATTATTCATGATAAATTCGTGGAAATTGCTACCGATTTCCGCTTAGGTGAGCAAAAATTACGCGAAGAAGTTAAGAAAGCATTTGCTTCAGTATTTCATAGCTGAATGCATACAATAATTATAAATTCTGATCTATTTTAATTTTTTCAACTGGATATTTTTTTTTGCTATTATTTAGAAATGAAAAATCAAAGATTCGTTAGTAAATTGAGTTTGCAAATATTTTAAAAACTAATTTTAATAACTTTTCAATATTTTGAAAAGCAAAAACTAAAAACTATAATGATTAATAATTCATGTAAGATTTGGTGAGGTTTCGATTTTCTTTTCTTTTTCTAATGATTGTCATTGGATATATCAAGTACGAATAATCTCTTTTTTTTAATGTTGATTTTTAAAAACTTTGTTATAAAATAAATTAATGATCGTTTATGTTTGAATCTCTCCTATCATATTTGTATAATTCGTACAAATAAATACATTCGAGTGTTACAATAATTGTTAAATTAACATTTCATATTGCTTGCTCATTTTTAATTAATAAAATTGAAAATAATTCATAGTTTGCTCGTTGCAAAATAAAAGAATTAGTTGTTTTCTCTATGTTAGTATCATATTAATTAAAAACAAATACTACACTTTAAATGATTCCATCTTACTTTTTTTGGAGATTTCCCTTATCTTATTTTATTGCAATTATTATAAATCATAAATGTTGATTAGTGAAAAGTTTCAATTTATAAATTTATTTTCAAATCTTAAGGTAAATAATTGCTTACTGAGATTTTTGCAGTCATATATCAGTCATATGAAGCAAATTTTTCGCTACAGTTTATTTACTTTCAAATTTCATGAATTTTCTTCTGTTATTCAAAAGTAATGACAAAAAAAATGGGCAGATCATAGTGAGGGATTTGAGGGATTAAAGATTAAAAAATAACAAGAAATTTTAATTTTATTTTAAAAATGAATATTTAATTTTATGCCAAATAACAATGTCATAATATCCTGTCTCTTGCATATAAATTATACGCAAATTACGTGAAATATTTATCGGTTGTGGACTGAAATTTAAATCGTATAAAATATATTCCGGTCAAAAGTATTCCGTAATAGATAAAAGTAAAAACAAATTTAATCATTCTTCCCTTCCAATCTTGCCATTCCTTCATCTGTAAGGCTTTCATCTGTAAGGTATCTGTAAGGTTACAAGATGATCACAAAAAAAAAGCTTTAAATTATTTTTAGAATTATCAGGCTATATAATTTCCTGATATCATTTTTAATTAACAATATCTGGACTATCCAATTAATCTTCCTTGTTTAAGAATATATCCTTTCATCATTGTTACGTTGAATAAACAAGCTTGATAATTTGAAAATTTCCTTTTTTAAATGAATCTCTTAGATAAAAATGCAAAATTTTCAATAAATTATTTATATCTATACAAAATATATTGTACAGAATCATTAATTACATCATTTAGATTGAAGTAAAATTTTGCTTATGCAAAACTTTCAGTGATATTAAAACTAAACAATTTTTATTTTTTGATGGAATCATCTTGATTAATTATTTCTGTCGTTAAAATTACAGGATTAAAAGATGGTAACATAGGAAGGAAAAAGAAAATTTAATATTTAAATATTCAACAGAACAACAATCTATCACTGCTCTGTACGCTTATTTGATGGAAACCGGCTCAAAAGAAATTAAATTGTCCATTATCTTTAATTAAAACATTACGTGAATAAATCTCTTTTCACGCGTCTTATAAATAAGATATCCTCTCCAAGACTTTCAAACTGTGGCAAATCTCATCTTTATTTAACAATGTCCAACTAGTTTTTATTTCCATATTACCGCTGACCGGTTCACTGAACGAGTTCCACAATTAAGTTAAGATATATAGGATGAAATTCTTTTATCTCATATTGAAATTTATTCACAAATTTCAAATATAACAACATATAACAATGTAGAAATATAGCAATGTAGAAATTATTCAATATAATACTGTGTAGCAATACAGTAATGTATTGAAATATTAATTGGAAAAGGAAAAACACTATAAATATCAGAACATATACATGTATATATGTGGAGATCCACAATTTGCATTATTTTTGGTTTTTTTTTTTCTGGCAGATACGCTTGAAAATTAGCAGTTTCATTTGAATGCCTGCTTATTTTATTTTGTTTTTTTTATATTCTAATAGAAAAAAAAAATCGCATAAAAATTTAACCACATTTTATGTGTCAAATTTCATATGTTAATATTAAAAACACAGAAAAAAGAAAATTAAAAACAATTGAAGATTTCGAGTAAAACATGAGCATAAAAAAATGACTAATGTATACAACATTAAAATATTTCATAAGTCCTCACTAAATGTTTATAATTCACTGAACTATTACATAAATGATGTTAGAAAATAAGAAAAAAAAAGAATACATTTGTCAAATGCAAACTCATAGTGGGATTAGTTTTGTCATTTCTTCTTCCACAATTGGTAAGTAGTCATAAATAAAATCTGGATCCAATACATTGTTTCGTATCTAAATGTTGGACAATTAAATTGTAATAGTAAAACTATGTAAAGAAAATACCAAAGAAAAAAATGAATTATAAAAAAGTTTGTCATAAGCCAATGTCATCCTCGAAGCAAGTTTGTCATAAAGCAATGCCAATCTCTTTAGAGCAAAAAGTTATTAGCTGTTTTTCCTTTTTAAAGAGCAACCAAAAAATTTAATATGAATCGGAAAAAAATTCTTTAGTTTCTAAAATTTTAGCTTTTTTCGAAATTGTTTCATTAGGAAAAAAAAATACCAGTAGTGATGAATTGGCCAATTTCAGTTCACGATGTGTCCATTGTCTCAAAAATGTGTTTGAATCAAGATCCTTATAAAGTCTCGTGTCACAAATGCGGACCAAAACACCATCGATTCGAAGATAGAAACGACAGAGAAGAAAGAGACAGGTTGGCATGGCCCGCAAACGTATGCTCATCTGGAAGATATACCATCCAAGAATTACTGCTAAGATTTGCTTAAAACACAAAATTAATGAATGGCAAACAGAAATGCATTTATGTTAATTTCTCAGATAATGCCGAAAATTGAGGTTAAAATTTTGAACAAAATATTCCAATCATAATTTATATTCAATTCTTTTTTAAAAACTAGGATCGAACTGGGACAAATTTTCCAGTTAACATACCTGGGATGATCCATGATCAGCTAATTCATCTTCGTAGAGTGTCAGCTGTGAATAAAAACTAATCGGATCTCGACGTTTCAATTTTTCCATTGAAATTGTTTCGTTAGTTGGTACCACCTGAAACGAAGTCATGAGTTTTTTTTTTAAACTTATTAAAACAACAAATTCCTTATATCAACCTGGAAATTAAGTTAGCGATTTTTTTAACCATTTCAAACGAAAAATGGAAAAGTAATCATAATAATGAAGAGGAAAATACCGTATAACCCTCGACAGTCCCTTTGTAATTACTTGTGTAAGTCCAATCAAACGGTCGACTATTTCGTCGTAAACATTTCACATCACTTCTCGACCGCTGCCATTCTTCGCTTGGCCCAATCTTTTTAAACAATAAGTTATGCATTATAAATTGGAAATTTAATTTTACAATGTATTTATAAAATCTGTGATATGTTCAGACCATTAATTTTAATCCATCCATTGATAATATGATCAGGTGGATAAAATAACGTGATCTGACAGCTGACAGCTTAGTCCAACTTCAAGAGAACTGTGCGCATCATTTTGGATATGTAGAACCAATCGGCAAAAGCACTGAACTAAGATAAAATTCAACGGAAGAAAGATACATAAATTTGAAAAGAAAATCAATATTTCACAAATCATCAACCTCCACGTTAGGATATGAAGTAACGTCAACCGATTTCAAAGCATCAAAAGTATTGAAACTGATTCGCAATTCTGGCTCATCCGGATATGTAATAACCACTGAATTATTCGGAAATATCATATCCGGCAAATGCGGCAATTTTAGCATATGAGTGTATTCACAAACCTGAACTATGAAAAAAATAATTTTTTCTTTTCGATACGCCTCTATAAATGGTAATCAAAATAATACAACCTGACACTGTGGCCAGTAGTTATTTGTTAGTTCCGGATGATGGCATTGTGATGAAAGGATATGATCACGAGTAACAATTACTGATACATCACCAAAAGCGAACTCCTCCTGCAATGAAATCATTCTTAAAGCATTCATTCATCAAACAGTAGTACACTTTTTTTCTAGATATTAAAACAAACCTTAACAATTGTGTCTTCCATTGCTTTCATTAATTTATCAGCAATATTTGACCCACCATGTAAACGAATTCGTTGCCCTTTCTTGGAATCCATAATGCGAGTAATTGAGGAAAATGTTAGATTCTACTGTAATGACCATACCGCAACAAAAGCCCAAAACAGGAATTTGACATCTCTACTCACATATGTAAATCTTCCAAGATCAATATATTATAGGTGCAAACTCACTATATATTCTTTGAAATGTTTTGAAAGCTTTGAAATCGAGAAAGTGCTCACTACGTATATACATATATATAAATTACCCTATAGTTCCGTATTTACACAAAGATATTGTCGTGATTCAAATGCAAAATAAGTGATGAAAATTTTGACTGCTTATTTCAGCAATGCGTAACATTTGACGAAAACCTGCTGATATAACGCGATAGTTAAATGTTTAAATGCGGAGATGATTGTGAACTGAAAAATAGCAGCTGACCATACAGATATTTTCAGATAATTTGGCGCTGCAACGATTGTTTCATTTACTGTTTCTGAATCTCAATGTGTACACAGTGAAGTGAAATCTTTTTTCATCATTCAATTTCATATTCATCAAGCAAAAAAATGGAGTTAATGCGCATAAATGATGGGTAGAAAGTATAATTGAGGCATTCCTCTCACGAAAGAAATATATTCAATAAAAAATAAACTCGATTTTTAAATAAATGAAAATATCATCAATTATGGGAATTTGAGCTCAGCACAATGAATGAGACTAAAAAAGACTTAGTTATGGTGAATGCATTTTTCCTATTTCCTACAATTCTCTGAATCCTATCTCTATTTCCTAAATATATCTCTTTTTCTGATTTCCTAATCAATCATATTTTTCCCATTTCCTAAACAAATCATATTTAAATCAAGGTAAAAAAAAGAGAGAGAATATAGAGGAAGAATTTATTGCAAGTGAGCAAAATGCACTGGACAAAACCGCATGGAAATTAAGTGCTCCCCTTGTCCTTCCTTCCCCAACCCCTTATTTTCCCCTTCCCTGCCATTTTCACCGACTAAGAATCTCTCTTTTTCAGAAATTTATTCAATTCCGGATATTTTTCAGGGTCGTATTTCTCATCCTTCGCCACTCGCTGTCGCACCAAATCATCAAACTCATTTTGCAGCACATTTGTATCATCAGTCGAACTGGGAATCTAAAATATTCAGAGTACATCGGCAACATTTCTTACACAAATTCTGAATTTAGGATCCATTATCAAAGCTTTTAATGATGTTTTGTTTCCATATCTGTGCAAAAGAGCATAATTTGACTCTTGTCAAAAAATTTGGCTGAATTTTAAAAGCATGAATTGTAAGACACACATTTGTAAGTGTGAAGCCAGAACTTGATACAGCTTCTTCCAAAGATCTTTTGACAGCAGAAGACACCACACCGTCGGAAGAGCCTTCTGTCGTCACTTTCATTCCCTTAAACTAAATTACGAATGACTTCTTTTGGCTGAAATAGATGTAGTATTTACAACTTATCTAGCTTCTGACAAGATCAAGTATATAGTTGAAAAGTAGTAGATTTTCAGCAAAAACATTTTTAATCTCATCAGAAAAGCCTGAATCAGCTGCGTCCCGTGTGCGTAAGAGCTTTAGTAACATCCAGAACCAAAGGATCTGTGTATATATCAAGAACTCTGGACAATGTTGGTACAGATAAAAATTACTGCTGCTTGAAATACAATGAACCTTTCTTTTTGTTGAACAAGCACTTAAATACGCATCGCTAAATGATTTTGCATTTCCAGGCACCGAACGATTTTTATCATCTTGAATTACTGATATCCATTCCTGAAAATACCGACAGTCACTTATCGTTCAAAAAAACAATAACCAATAGTTACACGATTCATCACTTATAAATTCATTCGTATAATTCGACTTCATCTTTTGAATAATCGACACTTTTCAATAGTATTTCTTGAGCAGACAAAAATGCTCAAAATTTGCTCGTGAAAAAAAGAATTAAAAAAAATCTGATCTTCCTTTATTCTATAATTACCAAACAATCCCGATGCAAATCGAAATTTTCAATTAATTTAAAACCAGACTTTCTTTAGCCCCATGACTGTTTCTGCTGTAGAAAGAGTTAAGAACATCATTCTCAGTTCAAATGCTTCTTTAATTGATCCTAAGCTGATGTTGTACGGCAGAAAGTTTTCAATCTGCGATTCTAAACTCATTACACAGAAAACAAAAATGATTAACCTTTGGTAAAATATTTTTCCAGGTAGGACTTGGCTGAGCATCTTGCGCGTCCTGCATCTCTACATCATCCAATCTTCTAGCTTTACAATCGTCTATGTTATCTGACTAAAATAATGGAATTATACAACCTCAATTATTTAGAAAGAAGATGTATAAGAGCTTATTATTTGAAGGTTTTTTAAACCAACCTCGTCATGTTTAAAACTGGAATTCGATGGTACACATTCGGTTTCACTGTTTGCAGTAAAGCTGCTCGACTCAACAGCTTGATCTTCTGAATTTTTGTAATATTAATTTTAACTTTCTAAATATTAATTTGTGTATACAAACTTAACTCCTGAAGAAAGTGAGTTAGATGTCTTACCACAGAAATGAAGTAATAACAACTACGGATATCGAAGCACGGTAGGTACATTTACAAAAGCTTCAAGTTATCTAGGATACTTCAACAACACACCAAATTTTGAATAACCTAATTAGGGATTGGTGGAATGAAAAGTTATGCTAGCTAAGAGCGCATATTTGTTTCACAATATTAAGGGACAACTATGTATGATGCGTTCTGAGCTTCAACGAACCGAAAACTGTAAATGTATTTATTGCATCAAACATAAAGGAAAAAGAAAAAGAGTAAGGACGTACGTTCATTTGCAAGAACAATATCTTCCATCATGTCATGAACAGTAAAAGGAGTTTCCCGACGCAGCAAAAGTCTTATATGAGACATACTCATTTGTGCCATTGAAACTGACAGGTGGTGCTCAGTGACTCTTGCGGGTCTCTCCTAAAATATTTTGAACAAAATAAAACGACAGTGAGAATTATTTAATGGAATATACAAGATTTAACAATTCAGTGAATAACAGTTATTAAATTGAAGCAGCCTAAAATTTAGAGAAATAACCATGAAACGAAGAAGAAGACTCTCGTAATCATATGGTTGGCCCTTCATTGATAAGTTTGTTAGCAGGACAGCTCGATAAACATAGGCGGTGAACATATCGACAATGGCTTTCGAGTACTCTTCCGGCGTCATATCTAATGATAAATTATTAAACATAAACGTGACCACGTTTCACAATTTCAACAAAAGCAGTTCGTTGAAGGGAAAAAAATCACTGAATTCGATGAAAACACAAAGTTAGCGCATACCATCATCAGTACGCATCAAATGGCGCAGAAATTCTTCCACAATTCGTTTTTCCAAGCGCAACACACTAGCAACTAAATCTATTCGACCAACACCATCAACATCCGCGTAACGATGAACATCGCTGTATGCAAGAAAACGATCCAACTTCTCCTCTGCTAGTGCCACACGTTCAGCAGCATTTTTAAGATCTGCAAACTCCAACATCTCTCAACGACATCCCTGCTAGAACCCCACTCTGCTGTCTTCCAACTTCATGGCAAGGCTAAGAACACAACCTCCAAAGAGAAGGAAAATAGCTAGGTTACATACTGACTGGAATAAATCATTATCCACTCAAACACTATAGCTAACTTTCATTCAATTATGTTGCAAAGAGATTCAACACAGAGGAGTATGAAACAACTATGCTTGCTGAGCGGATGCATCCTACTAACAATGCTGTAGCATTTCCAGCAGCAGTGAAATAGTTGATAACAAATGAAACCTTCATCAGACGGCCGGCAGTTATCATTGAATACATTTTGAATTAGAAAACGGCGCATCTGCTGCCGATTCTTGCTTAAAGAAGAGAAATTCCCATTCAGTATTTGCACAACTTCAGGAATTTGCAATATTTCGTACGCTAATACCATAACCAAATTTACAAAGCCTGTAAAAGATTAAACAAGTTTCCGAAGTTTTAAATCCAGTCAGCGAGAAAGAGCTAGGAACACTAATTTGTGGAGATAAGCAAAAAATTCAAGCTACAAAAATAATTGAACCTGTATCAAGGTGTGTAACTGGTTGCCCTATCTCACGCATCACCTGCGCAAGTGTTGTTGAACGCCCTGATTGCATCAAGTCCGACAATGTTCTTATCATTTCAATGATGTTCATATCATTTTCTGCATTATCCGCAACTGAAACTGACTTGTGCATACAATGAGAGATGGTCATCAGTTTCGGCCAAATCCTAATACCGAAAAAATTGGTTCCTACCAGAACATCCAAACTCATCATTTCAACGCGATGGATTAGTTAGAACGTATGAGTGCACATGACCAGGGGTCAGTAAGACATGTTAGCATCAAGCATGGATTTCCAAAGATTATGTAGACTAAGCCAATTCCAGATGCGCGATCATCAGAAGATGCATCTTACTAAATAGCGGACACTGATGGTGATTCTGGCAAAAGCTTTATTTTTTAATTACAATTCACATAATTATTGAGGCGGATATCACACTCTCCAGTATTATTTGCTTCTTTATAAATTTATGAAAAAATCACCATCACCAGCAGCATTGGGTGGCTGAATTTCCGATAAAGCACTTTCTTGGGTGGTGTCACTGCGGTTGGTACGTTGATCCTCCTCTACATTCTCATCTCTCATTTGCACTTCTTGAGGAGGATCAAAAGTTTCCTATAAGAATATAATTTCTCAAACATTGTGTCATCAAGAAACCAATTTTCTATGCAGGTAAGCAGAGCAATTTGCGACATAATTACACATTTCAATAAAATTTAATCAAAAGTTTCAGTAAATTTGGGAAGATCTTTTTACTCCTTTTTTAACCAACAACGAATAAGTTTGTAGTAAACCTGTTTCTCAAAAAAAGAACCTGAAGTTCGTACAATAAAAGATTTACTTACTTTTCTATTTAAATAGTGTTAATCAAGCAGCATCGAAAAAAACCCTACTTTATACAAACAAAGCACAAAAACTTACAATATCCACAGCATCTAATTCAATTGAGCCTATTGGTGGACCCGGAACTTCGAATCCATGTAACGGTGTGCTAATTACCGGTACCATACCATAATCTATAAAATGCGGAAATCTGCAAGCTATTGCAAAAAAAGATATAAAGTAGTCAAATTAGCATCATCAGCTAAAAAACAAGCGATCCTATATTTCAAAAACAATTCCTGATAACATACTGGAAACATCATATTCGCCCTGCGAAGCATTCAAACGATGAGCAATATCAGCATCCGCATCAGCTAAATTTGCAATCGCTCGTCGCAACATCGCTGTTAGAACACTTTTGAAATGTTCTGGGCGTTCAAAGAGTGCTTCCCCTCGCTGATTTAAGGCAACATGACCATCCAAATCATGTAAACCTCTGACTCGATCCTGCAATAGTGATACTGAACAAAAACCATTACGAATTTTCAATGCAGCCTTAAAATTTGACATATGACGAAAGTAGTTTCCAAACATTTAGAAAAAATTGTAGTTCTAAAAAATGAAACAAACTACTTCTCTGAAGTATGTGCAAAAATGTAATATGTTGCATAAAGTTTGTGTTATGGAGGCTACCCTGAACAGTGTTTTTCCTACTGCTGCGAGTGCAAAAAACTTATTTACGTATACCATAGCGTATTAAAATATGAAGCGCCGGAGTTTGGCAGCTCAAACCACCACTCTCCATATCAAGTGAAACCGATAACAATTCAATAATTCCAGAATCTTGAATATCTCCAACGCACAACAGTATGAGTACATTCTAAAAACTAACCCAACGACGTATCAAAGCTTCTATATCAGCAACCTCAGGTGATTGAGGATCAAGACTTTCTTTATATCTTAATGTTGCCTGAAATGGAAAATCAATTCATTTCCCAGTAAGACTAAAATAATTCATTCCGTACATGTAAAGATCCAAAAATTCTCTTCCCCTAAAACTAATCCATTTTAGGGTTGACGATAAGAATATTATGTCAGCGAAACTTTAACCACTCTCACTTATATTTCAAAAAAAAAGAATTATCAAAATTGACTTTTCGATGACATGCAAAAATGAATGCATTATAAAAATATGAGTAGCGATCAGTCTTAGTAACTTATCCAGCGATCTAAGTAAGTTTGATTAGTCGAGAAAATTACCTGATACAGATCACCTATAAGTGTTTCATAAGCTGTCGAATTGTGAATATTTGCCCGAGGATTGCATAAATTGCTCTGACAGTTCAAATGAGGATCATTCGTATAGATTGTTGAGTCATTTGGATAATGAGGCCCAATGAACATATCACTTGGTTGCTACAAATAAAAAACACTCACCACACAACTCATTTAATTTAATTCTTATTTTGTATAGCATAATCGAATTTCTCAAAAGAAGATTACAATTTAAAATAATAAATTCATTTCATTTCAGCTATAAGTGCAATATGAGCTTTTCAAATAACCGTAATTAGCAGAATTTTGGCGCCCTGGCAAAGAATCAAGCAGTAAACTTTTCAAATTCAATTGACAAACAACAATCTGTAAAATGAACTCTATACCTCTGTACCTCCTTCTCTATCTCCTCGAGTGGTGTATGTTCGCCGAGCCCACATAACATTACTTCTTAAAAACGCATCAGAATTTATTTTAGACAAATATATAAATCCGCAATATTTGCAAAGTGCATAAAAAAGTATTATATAAACCAAAAGAGTTAACACGTAGTCATTATATTCCTCAACTGCATACAACACATATACGAAAACGAAAGTAGAATTTCCCGGATCCTCGGAAAAAATTTTGTCGAAATCAAAATGGCGTACACTTCTAAAAATTACCTGTTTCTGCCCACAGATGATAAAATTCGTGGCATTCCGTTGACCTGCACATGCACACCATTTTCACCTACCGCGGCAGTCGCAGCTTGCATTGCAGCATCAAGGGCTCGACGAGCTGCCTGAAACGTAATGCAGTGAGAAAAACATGTTTAATAAGTTGACAAGTCCTACTAGTTTCAATTCTTTAAATAAAATGTTCTATATCATCGAGAATTTTCACAGTCACCTCAGCATTTGCTGGTCCATTTGTACGCACGATTACTTGACCAACAATTCCTGGACCATGGAATGTAGGAGTTGAAGGAGATAGGAATGTACGTGCCGAAGATTGCATTTGACTCGATCCAGGATGCTGACGACTATGAATATTGATCACTGGATGTCGTCGACGAACAGTATTTGCACCAGTTTGTGTACCAGATGCCGCTGTAACAACATGTATTTAAAATAAATTTTGATTTATAAAGAATACTTTTTTCTGCGCTATCCATAGCTATAATAAAAAAAAGGCATTTTAATACTCGATAGCATCGAGTATTAAAATGCCTTTTTTTTATTATAAACCAGTAATTTAAATTGTGTTGCTCTTATTTGAAAAAAATTGATGAAATAATTTGCAGTCAAACATAAAAAAAGAAAAATGATATAGTTATTTTCCCTTTTCAAAATCTAAAATGATTTATAACAATACAAATGCAAATGACTATATCAATCATTTTTTCGACTAATAATGAAGTAAGTTGTTTACTGGTTTGGCCAGTTTGCATAGACGTTATGTTCCCGAAAGCATTCGGCAGTATATTTCGGATAAAATTCTGGATTCCACCACGAACAGCAGTATTTATTGCTCCACCTGTATTTAAGAAAAGAAATGAAATAATGTTACAACCAATACTATATCTTATTTCACAATCAGATACTTAAGAAGACAAGATAAAAAGTCAAGATAAACGGTGATTAAATAATGTGCTTAATGGTAAACATGCAAATTTTGCAATATGTTGAATAGAAAAAAACATTCCTATAGAAAAATTTACGGAAGAACTAAATTGTATAAACAGTGAGAATTTGTAGACCTGAATAAAAAAAGATAAAATAAGCAGTTTACAGAAAAAAATTTTTTCCCAAGGGCTACCAAAATTACTCACCAAACTCTGTTTGATTGCCTGCAGAATCGGACTCAGGTGAAGCAGATTGACCACTAGGATTCTCGCCTTCTGTTTGATTGGTATTTAAATCGAATGGTTCAGATGTTTCCATACGCATTCCGGAATTTGCATTAGGTGCCACATGTAATCGAGCACTTTGCACATGAAGTGGACCTGAGGTAACAACTTTTTAGTTTCTGTTGATTACAATCTTAACAAACGGCGAAAATATCGACTCACCTGAAGAAGATACGAATGGTGTACGACTTCCCGCAGCACTAATGTCTGGAACTGTTATAACCGTTGGTGTTCTAATTGTTGGGTTTAAAACGGGATAAGTTCGTAATCCACCTCTCATGGATTGAGATAAGCGGAAAGCTCGTGAATGACCTGCATTTTGAACTTCACAACGGAAAATATAAAAGGTTACCTATGTCGATTTATATCAGTCAAGAGTAAATTCAACCTTGAGTATATTTTAACTAATTATAAGATTTCATTTCATAATGATAGCTCCTTTCTCCTTTAAAGCAAATACTGTGACTCACAGAAAAAGATTTTTAGAATTCGGAATGTGGGTTATTATTTAAAGGCAAGTTAAGAAACAGTTTATTACCCATGTGAATATGACCAATGTTAGCATCAGCAGGCTGCTGACCTCCATCAGAAACCGATCTGTCGCGAGAATCCCGTTCATTTTGTGCCACAAATACCAGAGTAAGAACAACCTGCAAATTAATGTTCATAAAATTCTTGCATTTTTCGGTTACATTTTACTAATACCCAGGTTTTGCTTAAATGACTGAGTGACTATGATGTACTTTACCTCAGTAGTTGGTTCGTCATGATGTTCCGCTGAACTTGGTTCCAAAGGTGATTCAGGGTCCAAGAAATTAACGAAAATGTCGGAAATTGAATGATAGGCATGCGAAAGACGGTGCAAGACACGTCGGAAATTCTCTTCGAAACATAATGCGATACATTTGGCTCGCTAAAAAATAAATACAGAAATAAAGCAATACATACATATTTCAAACGCAATTTTCTTTCAGAATGGTCCAATTCATACGTGCAGACGGAATAAAAAAAAGCTCTATATGGAAGTGTTAAAGTTCAACTAGAACTTATGACCAAAAACTGTGTGTAAAACTTACATTATTTGGCATATTTCTTCGCTTATGAATCATATCGTGATAACGCTTTAAATGATGATTTGCCAAATTTTGTACGCTCAGCAGTTTTCGAAGTAATTCCATATAATTCTCCGGTGTGGCGTTTCTAAAAATTCTTTAATGAAAATCACGTAAAAACATTCGACAGGCATACTTTATTTGAGTAAAAAGAAAACGGTTGAGACCAAAGCAACTAATAGCAAAGAAATACATGAACACGCATGTTGCATTCGTTAAAATTTAGAGTAAGATATGGATATTACAAACATAATAGCGTACAAACTACAGTAACTCGAATCAACAGAAAATATTCTGTGTTCAGCCTGCCGCTGCGTTAAAGCTATTTTATAAAAGCCTGTTAAAAGTTCTAATGTATTTGAAGCCTCAAATTATTAATCAAAATAAACCTTAAAACCACATTCTGCTGCTGTGTATTATTGTGTGGTGTCGAATTTGTTGTCTGTGGTGTCGAACTTGTTGTCTGTGGTGTCGAACTTGTTGTCTGTGGGGTCGAGCTTGTTGTCTGAGGTTCGTCTAAAAAATCTTTAGTCGAGAGAGCAGTAAAAAGTAGAAAAAAAACAACTTGGCAAGGTAATATGTACGGTCGCACGATTGACTGCTTCCGCCAATGAACCACGATTGTGGGAAATGCCTGTCACTAAGAGTAACGTGACAACCCGTAGAAATGCAAATGCACATTGAATGAAGTCATGCACGAGTTCTTTAGAACAGGTTCAAAATGGTAATCGTCGAATCATACCATCCGAAATAGCTGCTAACCGATTCATTTTTTTTTTTTTTTGGAATTTTTACTCTTTCAGATAAACTCTCTTTATAATAATAAAAAAATACCTCCTTCATTTTTCGGTCCTGTGTCGGTATTATCTGACAAATCTGCAAAATATGAGTATGCGAAAATTAACAATTGTTTTTAAACTAGTTTTTGATAAAATTTTAAATTATTCATAGACTTAACTACTTCAAACGTAGTAAATTATCGGCCACTTAACCGTAAAATGGCCAGATCGGACAACTGCAAGTCCACGAAGTTTAACAGTATTACGGCAATAATTCACTGTTGAAATGATTCATTCATCATTCATTAGATATCTAATAAATATTCATACTCATCTTCCGTGTCATGAAAAATTTTAGCTTTAAAATTTCTAAATAGTAAATACCTGCACGACGAATATGAAGCACTTCCTCTAATTCTAAAACTGTTTCACCAAATTTAGTGCGTTCGAAATCACTTCTCAAAGGAGGCATAACTCGCTCATAACCCTCAACCATCATCGATGAAAATGGCTCCTTCTGGAATATTTTTCTGTTGTTATTTACAAATTTTCATTCACGGCTCACTTCTACTTTCCTACGTTTCAGAAATATAAAGTAGGTTGAAAATTTCGATGAAATCACTGCGATACGAGATCGTGCAAATTCGTAAAAAAAATGTTACAGCATACAAAGGATCCCACTATATCTATTGTCTGAATAGATCACCTGTTCAATAATTTTTGCAACAAAAATCTTCACCTCAAGAATCTCTAAGGTACGCTCGCTCCGATTTAATCCATCAGAGATGAAATTAATTCGACTGAGTGCTCCAGAATTGACGTGACGTACAGCACCACCTCGAATATGCACTCGCAATGTCAGATCACCAGTTCGCGGTGTATCGTCTTGAGTTTCCACATCAACCGAGGTACGATCTAAGAGAGCACCTAATACATTCGAAAGTGTCTCCCTTACAAATTCCTGAAAGCAAATAATGGTAAATGAAATATAATTATACTGATCGTACAACTAGATATGATCATACTAGTTAAAACTGTGTATAATATACTGATCGTAAGTCGAGCATATGACTCGCCTAGGTCAAAATTATTTCTATTTCAGAAATTATCACTAAAAACTCACTGTTGTGTTACCCGCATCCTGAAATATGGCATTGCGTATGATAACCATTTCACCATTTATCACATTGACTCGTGTGCTTTCCATATGCTCATCACTATGTTCGAGATCAGAGTGCTGCGAATTTAAGCCAGGCGGGGGACCGCTGCAAAAAAAGAACTATTCCCTTTCAAATACACACATGCAACCGAAAGTAATCCGTACATTCGCAATGCCACTCCTTCATGTTCAGAAAAACCAGCGCCTAAAATAAGTAAAAGAAAACTTACGCATTGAGTGGACGTTCTACCATGTGAAGGGTTAAACCATCTGCAATACCATAATCCTTCAGAAGGCGATCGTTATTCAAAAGTGGATGTCCTTGAAAAATTATTCGTTGTCTCGATTCCAAAATACCCATTCTCTCTTCTATTAATTTCCGCAAAGTACCAAGACTTGCCTTAAATTCAATAAAGATGTTCAGGATTAAAATAATACTTCAAAAATGAAAATTCAAATGACGTACTGTTGGAATGAGTCTCAACTTACATCGTCGGCAATGTCCAATTCTTCATCATTTCGATCTAACGTTTTCACTCTGATTCTCATGGCTGAAATTCAAATCTGCTTTGTGATAGAAAATAAAAGGGAAATGAAGTGAAAAATATGCATATGAAATACAAGTGTCGCCAATATGCTGCTACTTATTCATGCTATTTATTCATGCATAATGACGTCACACAGATAGAAATAATACAAATAATCTATGCATTACCATGTTCCTTTTTGATAAGAAATAAGTACATTTCAAAATACGCTTGACCTTGACATAAATTAATAAGGGAAATTTCAAATTTAAATTAAATTTATAGAAATTTGGGAGAACTTCCCTGCAAATGTTAATCATCGTCAAACAAATATCCATGGAAGATATATGGTATTCAACCATTAGTCAATTTAGGGAAAGTATCCCAAACAATCAGCCTGACAAGATGTAGTAGGGAATAACCAGCCTAGATAGCCCCCAAAGTCTACACACCGTACCCCCATTTGAAATTTCCCAGCGCACAAGCAAGAACCAACCTATCAATCAGTAAACTAAACAATATTATGACCAATTTTTAGGACAAATCAATTTAAAAGGAATCTACTCCAAACTTCTGATGACAAAATTTGCATATTTTCGATCAATAAAGTATCTTTAAAGTTGCTATCATTTCTATTCCTATTCGCCTTCTCTATTATCATATCTCATTACTTCAAAGTCTACACACCGTACCCTCATTTGAAATTTCCCAGCGTACAAGCAAGCAGAATCAACCTATCAATCGGTAAACTAAACAATATTATGACCAATTTTTAGGACAAATCAATTTAAAAGGAATCTACTCCAAACTTCTGATGACAAAATTTGCATATTTTCGATCAATAAAGTATCTTTAAAATTGCTATCATTTCCATTCCTATTCGCCTTCTCTATTATCATATTTCATTACTCCAAATGAGAAATTTGCATATTTTCGATCCATAAAGTATCTTTAAAATTGCTATCATTTCCATTCCTATTCGCCTTCTCTATTATCATATTTCATTACTCCAAATGAAAAATTTGCATATTTTCAATCAATAACGCATTTCTAAATTTGCTATCACTTTTACTCCTATCCACCTTCTCTACAATCATATCGCATTTAAAAGGAATTTATTCCAAACTTCAGATGAAGAAATTTGCATATTTTCAATCAATAAAGTCCGAGTATTTCTTAGCGTTGCAATTTATATCAGAAGTTGCAATTTATATCATGCAATTTATATCAAAAGCATTCCGTGAGAAAATTATATATGTTTTCGTAACTTAGTATGATGAAAAAATGACGCAGCTAATACGGTTAAAATATCTTCCATCATTACTAATAGGAGGTTATATATATCAAAAACTAATTTGAATACTTCTCCATGTACGATTCAACACAATCAAATAGTCAACAATTAAAATCTCTACCAACCGATTAAATCCACACCACAATTAAATCAATAATTAGATCACAAACCTAATTCCTACCGAAGTCACATCCTGACCCCAAATACTATACTACACGTATCTCTGGACAGCCGTACTATTATGATCATCTATTATTTCGCGGCTGGACGACACTTTATGAGAAGCATCAAGTGGAGTTGAGAGATGAGGATGATGGATAGCAGAAAGATAGGAGAGTGAGGAATGAGAGAGGAGTGGAAGAGAGAAAGGAGATGGAAGAGAGAGGGTTTATTCAGTTTTTAATTACTACTGGTAATTAAGTAATTTAATGTAAAAGTATGCCTATGATTGCTGATTAAAACGAAGGAGAAAGTTGTAAGGAAGAGGTAACGAAGTTCAAGTGTAAAAACGAATGAATTAAAACAATTACGTTGGTGTTGTTTTCTTTTTCTGTTTTTAAAAATTTCAATGATCAAAATTCATGTTTGAGAATGCTTCAATTTGTGTATGTTCATTGTAGTTCCAAGAATGTAATCATAACTGGGCAGATATTAATTTTTCGATTAATTAGACTGCACCAATCAATATTTGATTGAACTATTCAGGATAAAATTTTGCTTATTTTTTAATGAAAGAGAAAGTCAAGAGAAAGAAAAGCATCAAATATTAGTTGATTAAAATAGACTGGAATGCTATTGTATTGAAGAGATGTAAATTTTTAAGGATAGATGAATCAGGTTAAAGGAAATTGGAAATGTTATCAATATTCATCACAGTAACAAGACTATGTTCAATTTGATTCCTGTCCATTCCGGTTCTTGTACTTTTGTTTATTTTCCTATCTTTGTTTTTTTTTTTTTTTTGCTTTCTCTCTCTTTCCTCTTCCTCTCTTCCTTTCAAAGTAATTTTTCAAAAGCATATTAATTTGTAATGAGATGGTAACATTTTGAATATTAAAAGAAATTGAATTAGATAGTAAAAGAATCGAAATTAAATACACGTTCATCAGTACAGGATGCAAAAAAAAAATCTCTAATAAGGAAAATATTGAAGAAAAATAAAAAAAATTTTTTTTTTTCTCTGACAATTTTAATCAATTTTGATTGTTGAATTTATGAAAGAAAGCGTGTATTTTCAATGTCTAAACAACGTCACCTTAATCGAGCTGATGAATTTTTACGAGCTAACATTGCGGTTCATTTTTCAGTTGCAGCACTTATTTAACCGTGTCAGGCGTGCCGTTGCGTCAGCAGGAACAGATGTGTTCTTATGAGTGATTCAAAAGATTCTGATGTTTTTAACTTTTCGGTTCTTGTATTATTTTTCCACCTCACATACTGATCGATCTTTTCTACTATTCGGAAAGATTCATTGAAGTGTGTACCATAATATTAATGGATTACTTTATTAAGAAATTTATCAAAAATTATTAAATTTGAAGATTATCATAATTTCAACATTAATAAATTTGTTAATGATCTTGAAAATATTAATATATCTTTAAGCACACTTCTTCTCCCTGCCTTCCTGAGCGATATTCAAGCTAACGATTCCCATATCATAAATATCGTCAATGTAATTTTCCGGGATTTTATAATCGTCCACAATTCTACATTTCTGAAATAATTTCACTCCATAAATAGAAATTAAAAAAAAAAAAAACAAATTTTTCTTGTTCTATTGTTCCAATCAATGACAGAAATTTGAAAAATCATATTTGTCTCGAGGGATTGCCTTTCTATTAGTGAGCGTTGTATTCTTTTAAATCTTTTTAGTCTTGCTTTTGTCGTAATAAGCTACAAAAAATGAAATGCAGGCATCGGAAGGAAGTTTTAACCGATTTGGAAATGCATGATAACTTTTCTTATCAAAAACAAAACTAATATAAATCATTCATTCCGAGATATTTTATCCGCAAAATAATTAAATCTTTACTGGATATTTTACTCGAGACTTACTGGATCGATAATGCCATCATTACAGCTGTGGGTAATGCGTAAATAAGGCTTAATACTGCCTATTTCATCTTCTTGTCCACTTACTTCAAAGCGTCCGTGTCGATCAGAATGAGTAGCAGAAAGTGTATCATCTTTCCCTTTAAAGTTAACTGAATATAAGTTTTTAATTTCTTGATCAATCTATTTTTTGAAAAAGATAATTCAAAACTCATTTTCCATCCATGGCACTGAATTCCAAACATTGACTGAAGTATGGCTTAATTATTTTGCCATAAAAATTCCACTCCAATCGTAAGTAACTCTTCACTACCTGCCAAAAATTCATGTACACAGTTTTGTATTTCAGAAAAACCAAAAAAAAAAAAAACGATCGAAGTGATCGAAAACTTCAATGCAAATCAAATTACATTGTAATTTTTTAACTTTTTGACATTTAAAACAAAATAATTGTATTGAAGTTTTCAATTCCTTCTATCTTTTTTTTTTTTTTAGTTTTTCTGAATTACAAAATTTACATAAATTTTCGGCAGATAGTGAAGAGTTACAATCAGACAATTCTTCCGAATGATGAAGATAGAATTAAAATTGAAGTAAATAATCAAGAAAATCTGACATATATCAACTTCTCGTAGTTCAATATGAACACTGTTAACCGATTTATCACTGCATGCCACTTGTCCTTGTACCATGACTGTTTGCATTTTGCAATTTGCAAATGTTACCAATGGCAAAGTAAATATTGTCACTTTCAATGCTAGCATTTCTATTCTGAAATTCGGTCACTTATTTAGAAGTAATGAAAGGCAAAAAATTGAACTTAAATGCAACAAAAATCATCTTTCAAATATCACAATGTCAATTTTTTTAATCATTCAAAAAATTTTAGGATTATTTAATTTAATCTGGTAGGATTAAAATGTTTTAGTTGTTCATAAAAGAATAGATTTTTAAAAAGAAAAAAAAAACAAGATATAAATATAGGGGAATTTTAGAATGAACTGAGAATTTAAATGAGGAAATTTTTCGTAATGAAATGAAAGCAAATGAATCGTTTGTAAGGAAACTAATGAGATTTAATGAAGAGAACAGTTGCTTTGAAAGATTAGTATGCAATTGGTAGGAGTTAAAATGGCCGACCAAACAAATTATCAACTGAATTCTTTCAACCTATGTTTGTGATTATTTTAAGTCTTTTCTTCACTAACTAAAATTAAACTCATTGAGAAATCTTTTTCAAGCAAAATTTTGATAAATGAATTTTTTTTTTTTGGTCACTGATTTGTTCTTACCTATTTTTAACTTAATTTTTTTTTTTTTTTTTGAATAAAAATCTATTGAATGATGCAAACACTGCATTTTATTTGCTTATTTTCCGACCGTATTTTAATTTTTAAATTAATGTTAAACATAAATTTTGAACTTTTTTCGTCAAATTTTTTGGGGAATAGAAACAAATTTTATTTTAGTAATAAATTTTTTCAGTTAAATACATATCACATGTATATAAATATACAAATATACACAAACATGCAGGCCAAGTATTAACATTTTCATCAGTTTAAACTTAGATGATTTAATTTTTTTGCAAGAAATTATTTTGAGGAATTTTAAGTTTATGGATATTGAAACATGTTGTTTGTTGTGATCTAACAAAATGTCATCTTTAATAATTGAAACTGAAATGTGACATTTTTTCCGAACTGGCAATCATTTGTTAAAAGGAAAAAGAATTTTGCATTATTTTTCAAATTGTGACATTGCACTTTTTTTATTATCTTTAAAAATTTGGGTTAAAAATTTACAGCCTAATCAATAATGATATTAATAGAAATGAGTGCGATAAGAATCATTCTAACATAATCGAAAAGTACACCGATCTCATCTTTCCAGCCAAATGCAATTAACTTTGACAATTTTTTATTTACTAACAAATAATACTCAAATTTTTGCTTATAATTATTGAAATCAACATTGATAACAATTATGTGATGTAGTGATAAGAATGATAAATGAATGATCATTAATAAAATTTGAGCCATTTTTTCTTTTTTTCCAAATAATATTTTTTAAGAAATAAATTTGTATAAAAATTCATTTCTCTATAATGTTGCTCCTTTCTTTCTGCATTAGCAATTGTGCATGCTGTTTTGTTAAATTTTTTAAATCAAAGCAAAATTCACATATCAGCCATACAAATGGCAGTGTTATTTTTTGACGACAATGTTACTGATATGATCTTATCAGTATTCTGTTGAATAATAATAGAATATTGATGATGATAATGATACCTTATGTTCTACTTTGATTATTTTGATGCTTTTATTTTCAACTAATTGCAAAATTATGCATGCCCTATAAAAAAATTTGTCTGGAACTGAAAATAAATTGTTGCTGATAATCAATGAAACATTATATTATTAGATTATAATAATGATAAGTGTAAAATTTTTCAGCTACAGAGAAAATGGAAAATTTTTCTGCTAATATAAAAGATAGTTATCATCATTGATCCCTTAAAGTGAAGAAGAAAAATAATAGTGTAAAAAAAAGTTTTTTTTTTCTTTCAACCCTATTTTCAATTCAGTTTATCCTCATAAAAAAAAAGAGCATATATTTGATTTTAACACATTGCTTTTTTCTCTTTCTTCCTTTTCTCTATCAAAAATTTCGTTCAGCCAAATCAATAATTGCTAATTTCATTGTATTACACAAAAATGATAATAATGTTATCAATTTTCTCATCATTTATTGTATCAAATTTTTTCATCCTTTTTTTTTTGATGATATGAAATAATTCGTTTTTTTTTTTTGTTTTAGTCAAACTAAATTGTGATAGCATCATGTGAATAATTTGAATCATTTTAGCTGTGAGGAATAAAATGTGAGATATAATGTCGATATTGTTTAATTTATCAGGCATTCTGATCTTTTTTTTCTAAAATAATAGTTAAAATTTCTTTTATAAAGCAAACTAAAACAATTGCAAAACAAAACAAAAAAAAACAAACAAATTTCAATCTTTGTGCTTCTTGTGGTTTCTTAAATAGCATTAAAGAATGAAAAATTAAAAGAATTTGTTAGCAACAACAACAAAATAAAAACGATTAATAAAATATATCATTTACTTAAATAAAAATAAAATTGGAGATGAAATATGTTAATTATAAATTGCTTTTTTTTTAATTTTGTTAATCTAAAACTAAACGAAAAAAAAAAACAATATTTTTTACAATGAATTAATAGCATTACACGTTCATTGCTTTATAAATTATTTTATTAATGATATATTTATTAAAATTGTATATGTAAACAAAAATCTTTTTTTTTTTTCAACACACCAATCAATACATTTTACATTTATCAAGCTTGATAACAAAACGATAGGGAACCAGTTTGGTGGAGCAAAAAATTTTCAACAATTCAATTGTATTTATATCTGGAACACTTAATATCATTGTATTAGACATATATGTCTGCTTAATAGTCTGCTTGTCAGTCTGTTATATTTCTATTTCACTTTATAAAATTAACGTATTTTTTTGTCTCCCGTGGCTTGTTAATCAATTAAAATTTGATATTATATATTATTCATTCTTTTTAACCAAGAATATACGTTTTTTTTTTTTTTTTTGCTCACTAAAATTGTTTATTTATAATTTATTAAAACTATAAATTAATTCATACAATCAGTCGTATTTTGAAATGTTTTTTGATTTTAAGTTTTTAATTGTCTTAGTTTTTTTTTTTCGTTCTTTCTCATCAATTAAATTTATTGATTGTTTTTTCAAACTTTATTTGGTGTAATTAAATGAGAATCTAAATATTTGCTATAATAGCTAAAGCTATCAATGGCAATGGTTAATTTTAGTGCTGAAAGATTACTGATCATAGATAAGCCTAAAAAATATTGGCTTAATTTGATTCAATAAAACTATTTCAAGCTGATATATTTAAATTTGATCATACTGCCATTAAGAAGAAGGAGAGAGAGAGAGAGAGAGAGAAAAGAAAGAACATTTCATTGATTGATCAGGTATTGTATTGGATATAAATGATACCTTTTTGATATTTTTATTCAAAAATTTGATTATTTTAATAAAAATGAAATTTTGACATAGCAATTTTTAATTCATCTATATACAGATTTGAAATAAAAACCATTCTGTTCTTTCCATAGAGCCTTTTTGATTTCAATGTCCAACAGGTTGTTACATTATACCTTTTGCTAATTAAACTACTGGCTACGAAAAATAGAGATTTCAGAGGAGAAAAATTAGTGTTGTAGTCGTTAAAAGATTATAATTATTTAAACAATCATTTAAATAAAATTCATTGCTAAAATAAAAAATTGTTTTTTTTTCCTTTTCTTTTGCAATCAATATGTTTACCATCTGTTTCATAATTTATCAACAAAAAAATTTTCAGTCTTATTTTGAAATTTCGCATAATTTCTTTTTGATTTTTATCTTTGTTTAATTTTTTATTCATACAAATAATGCCTAAGTTTGTTCATTTCATATTGAAAAATTTTTTTTAAAGAAAATCCTTCAAATTTGCTTTTTTTTTATGCTAGAATTCAGTTTAAATTTAAACTTTAAATATATATTTTCTTTTTACAGGATGAGTTTTAATGAAAATTTATTCCATCAAATTAAAGTTGAGGGACGCTCAACAGATGCTTTATTTACTGTTCCAAAGCAATACACCAATCTTTCATATTTAAGCACTGGTGCTCAGGGAATTGTTGTGTAAGTTTTAACTTTTTTTTTTAAATTTTTGAACAGGAAATTTTAAATTCTAAATGACAAATTTGTAATAAGTTCTAAGAGTGAATAAATTTTAGAAAAGCTTATGATACGGTTGCACAAGAACAAGTTGCAATCAAAAAAATCATTCATCCATTTTTAACAACAATGACAGCTCGTCGAACATATCGAGAATTCGTCCTGCTCACAACAATGAAACATCCTAATGTTTCTTAATTGTCTTCTCTTTTTTTTTCTTTTTGATTTTTTAAAATGATTACAAGAAATAGAATTTCTACATTTTTAAAATTGACTTTATAGGTGCAAATTAATCGAAATTTTTCAGAATTTTAAAATTTTAATTTTATTTATAAAAATATTATACTACTATGATATGATAATTGAACTGTAAAAATTGGGGATGAAATTGAAGAGAGAAAAAAATGTACTGTATTAAACAACGGTACTTTATAGTGATTAACACTGCTTAATATTTAAATATTAAAAATTCATTTTCTGTTCGCTATTTTTCTTCCTTTTTTTTGTTCTTAAATAAATAAATTTACATAATCAATATCGTTCAATTATCATTACGATTTCATCAACATCCATTATTTAATGATTACAATCTTATTATGACAAATATAATTCAAATTACTTGTTAGGGAACATTTTGACAAATAATCATTTAGATTGATTGCTGATATCGGTTTATTAATTGAATTTATTTTCCACTGATCAATAGCCAATTCTATGACAACTATTAATAATAAACATCACCATTTTATTTAAATCGATCAATACTTTTACTTAGTGATAATTTGAAATTTTTTGCAGATAATAATGCTTAAAAATGCTTTCACACCGCATCAATCATTGGAAGATTTTGATGATATTTATGTAGTGATGGAATTAATGAATTATAATTTATCTCAAGTAATTAAACAATTAAAATTGGACAATAAAAATCTTTCATATTTCACATATCAAATGATTGTTGCAATTAAATACATGCATCGTAGTGGAATTATTCATCGGGTATGCTTTTTAGATGTTATTATTTAAATTTTAATTTTTAATAAGTTTTGTGCAATTTCAAAAAAAAAAGAAGCAGCTATAACAACAGTAAATAAGTCTAATAAATAACATAGCTATATTGCTTTATATTAATAACAATTAGAACGAATTATAATATAAATATTTAGATAATGTATATTATTTAAAAAATACTGATTATGAATGCAAGAAAATTGAAAATTAATTTTAGGATTTGAAGCCAAGTAATATAGTGGTAAATGATAAATGCATTCTCAAAATTCTTGATTTTGGTTTAGCAAGAAAAATTGAAACAGGCGAAC